CCCAAAATCAACACTTTACAGGCATTAACCAATTTGTATATGCTTTTTTTCATTATTATAAATGACACTTAAGAATATTATTGTACTTTCATTATCTTTTTTGTTGTTTTTTGAGATAGAGTCTCCCTTTGTTGCCCAGGCTGGAATGCAAAGGCATGACCTTGGCTTACTGCAACTTCCATCTCCTGGGTTCAAGTGATTCTTGTGTCTCAGCCTCCCTACAAGTAGGTGGGACTACAGGCATTCGCCACCACACCCAGCTACTTTTTGTATTTTTTGTAGAGACAGGGGTTTCACCATGTTGGCCAGGGTGTTGTCGAACTCCTGACCTCAGGCGATTCGCTGGCCTTGGCCTCCCAAAGTGTTGTGTTGGGATTACAGGCATGAGCCGCTGAGCCCAGCCACATTAGTTTTCAAATGCAGATGAACGAGGGACTGTGAATGTCTATTGTCTCAGGTGTGCTCCTAGGCACGGGTTATAAGCTTACAGGTACAAACTTACTAATGGGTAGAGAGACAAATAATAAGTATGTGGTCTGTAAATGTGGTTAATTTCCCCAGAACAGAATTCTGGAATACTGGTCTGAGAGGGTATAATTATTTTAAAATATTTTTGGGGCCAGGTACGTTGGTTTACGCCTGTAATCCTAGCACTTTGGAAGGCAGGAGGATCACTTGATCCCAGGAGTTTGAGGCTACACTCCAGCCGGGGGAACAGAGTGAGACTCTAACTCTCAAAACAAACACACACCACCAAAAAAACTTTTGGCTCATACTGCCAAACTCACGTCCAGGAATTCTGAGGCGATTTATGTGCTTCCAACAGTATATGAGAGTGACTACCTCATAACCATACCAGACCCTACCTGTGTTTGAAGTTTATCATTTTAAACTGATTTTTGTTTAGTTAAAAACCCAGCCTCCCCTAGCACAGTGGCTCACGCCTGTAATCCCAGCACTTTGGGAGGCCGAGGCAGGCAGATCACGAGGTCAAGAGATCAAGACCATCCCAGCCAACTTGGTGAAACCTAGTCTCTACCAAAAGCACAAAAATTAGCAGGGCGTGGTGGGCGTGCCTGTAATCCCAGCTACCCCGGGAGGCTGAGGGAGGAGAATCGCTTGAACCCGGGAGGCGGAGATCACGCCACTGCACTCCAGCCTGGTGACAGAGCAAGACACTGTCTCAAAACAAAACAAAAAACCCTGCCTCTTATAGTTTTAATTTATGCAGCTTGGGTTAGTAGAATGGTTGACTTTTTTTTTTTTCAGTCCTTCCTTCAAATAGTGAGTACTCTGCTGTGCTCTATTTGTGGAATACTCCTTTTCTTCTTCAGGGATGCTTGATATCTCTTTTTTTCACAGATGTTTGATATTTCCTTTTTCATCTATTGTGTTCTTACCATTTCTAGGATGTTTCTAGGCTTTCTATTCTATTTCTTGTTCTGTACCACACTGAAATGCCTGCGGTAGCTTTACAATTTGTTTTGATATCTGTTAGGGCAAGTCTACCCTCATTCCTGCTTTTGTTCCCACGGGGGGGAAACCATAGCTGTTTTCGGCTATTTTTCCAGGTGAACTTAGAATTTTGTGAAGTCCAAGAAATGTAAGGATGACATTAAACCTAAACATCAATTAGGAAAGAAAGGTTGCATAATCAGCTTGGCGAAGGGTTACTGAATTGGTTTTTAATCTTGACTGGAGCGGGGCACAACTTCCCTGTGAGGCAGACCTGGGCTCCTCTTGGACTTGGGCGACCTCGATAGTGGTGTGTTCCTTTGTTTGGTGTTCAAAGTAGAGAGAGGTCCATTAAGCAGCTCCCTAGAGAAGCAGTGGCGTGTCAGGCCAGCCCAGCCCCTGGGACGGCAATCTGCATGGCAGCCAGGAGCCAGGGTCCTGGAGGGCCGTCTCCGGCAGGCGCTTGACCCCTGGGGCCTACGAGGGGCTGCGGCCACCGGAAGGGGCTGGCTGAGCGCAGCGTGCTGGGTCCTCCGCGCCCTCTGAGCAGGTAGGACCCGCAGGGGTGCGCGCGCGGGGGCCCTAGGGGGGTTGGGGTTAGAGGAGGGGCGCTCCTTCTGTTTTGCACCCAAACAGCCCGGGTCTCCCCAGGAGCCCAGACTTCCGAGCTTGCAGTCTCACTGCGGGCTGAGCCTTTGAGGCTCGGGCCACCGCAGGGAGCGTCGAGCAGGGGTCGCAAAGGGGCCGGGGAGGGGGCGCGCAGGCCGATAGAGGTCCCTAATTCGGGGCTTCTAGGGGTCAGGGTCAGGCTAACAGGGGGTCAGTCAACCCAAGTTTGAGGGGTTGGGCGTCAGCCTGTGGGGAGGCCAGGGTCCCTGTCCCAGGGGCTGGCATGCGGTCCCGGTACTTCGGGGGCGAGGTCGCGGTCCCGCGCTGGGGCTTGAGGTCGGGGTCCAGTTAGGCCTCCGGGGTCTGAGTCCCCGGCTCCTCTTGCGCACCCCTCCCCCACGGCGCCGGACCCTGGCAGCCCGCCCCGCCCAGTGCTCGGACCGCTCGTCGGCCCTGGCCCGGGCCCCGTCCCCACAGGCCCCGCCCCTACCCGAGGACCACGCCCCCTCACTGTCCCTTGGCCCCGCCCCGCCGCTCGCCCATTCAGATGTGGGTCAGGGGTGAGCGGGCGGCGCCGACGTCACAAGCTTCCAAGATGGCGCTGGGCGGGCGGCTGTGAGCGGCGCTCGGGGCGCGCTGGGCGGGGAGCCGAGCCGGGCCGGCGGCAGGCGGACGGGGCGGGCGCGTGCGGCACGAGCCGGGCGCCGAGGACAAGGGGCTGCTGGTAGCGCCGGCCGGCCGGCGGGCGGAGCGGCGCCGCCGACGCACACGAGGTGAGGGGCTGCTGCGGGGGGCCGGGGGCGCGGGGCGCGGGCCGGGCGCGTCCTCGGGGAGAGGGGCGTGGGCGCGCGCGCGCGCTCGGGCGACGTGGGACTGCTCGCGTGGGGGGCGCGCGCGCGTCTGGCGGGCCTGGGCGGGGGCGCACGCGGGACCCTTGGCAGGCCTGGGCTTTGTGGGCCAGATGCCCCGAGGGTCGCGGGCTGTGGGACACCCGGGGCACAAAGCCCACGGGGCCGCGCCAGGCCCAGGACGCTGGTCTGCGGAGCGGGGGTCGGCGGGCGAGCGGGCGCCGGCTCTTTGTGCCTTTTCATTAGCAATCTAATCCGAACAGCGTCGGGCGAGCTGCGCTGCCTGACAGGCGGGAGGGCTCCCATTATGCAAACGGCCCTGCGCCCGCGGTCGCCCCCTCGCTGGAGCATTTTGCGATTTCCAGAATTGCGGTCCTGCACCGTCTGCGGTCTCCTCTTGCCTCCTCCCCGCGGGAAGACTGGCCACGGCAGGGGCAGGGGCAGGGGCAGGCCTGGAGGGGCCGCTCCCAGAGGGCCAGGCTCTGCGGCTGGTGGGCTCACTGCCCTGCCCCCAGACCTCTCCTATAGGCAGCCGCTTGGCAGGAAGAGAGATGGGCTTGGGGGAGGGGGTCGGCTGGCAGGGGGAAGGGACCGGCTGGCTGAGGGAGGGGGCTGAGGGGCCCCAGCTTGTCACTCTCTGTTTATCTTCCAAGATGGTTCATATTCACACAGGCCTGGGTGTGTGCGTGGTGGGGGGAATGCCTCTCCCTGGGGGGCAGTGACTTGCGAGGAGGAGGGAATGAGGCCAGATAATGCTCCCAAAGGCCCCACCCAGAGCGGCCTGGGACTGCCTGGGTAAGGGAGCCCAGTGCTGAGCCGGATGGGTTGGAGTGGTGTTAAAGTTATTTATCCATGTCTTCTATCCCCTGCACCCCTAGTCTTTTCTAGTAGGTATTGCCAAGCACATCTGGAAAGCTATGTTCCCGATCCCCCACTCCCCCAAAGGCAGGAGGGGTATAACCCTGGGAGGCCACCCCTCTGACATATGTGCTGGGGGGAGGGGCAGAGCCTTGCCCATAGGAATCCTGTGGCGGTGGGTTGTTGACTGATGTGGGGATTGCTGTGTTTCTTGTGCTGTGGGGAGAGCTCAGGTAATGGAGGGGCCTTGGGAGCTCCTAGGCTGAACTTGGGGCTGTCGTCTGAGGATCCAGGATGGAGGGATGGAGCTGGGTCACCCAAACCTAAGATCTTTCTGGGTCTAGCATTTATTGCTTCCTGGCTCCTGGCTTTGCTTCTTTTCCCCCATTCTCATCTGCCAGTGTCTGGACTCTCTGGGCCTTCAAGCAGACATTTTCAGGAGCACAGGCCATGTGGTTGGTCTGAAGCCGTGTGGCAAGGAGAGTGTGCATGCTCGGTGGAGCAGGGTTGATGGAGTAGTAGGTGGTCTGGAAAAAAAAAAAAAAAAAAAGCAGATGAGCTGGCCTCTGGAGACAAAGTTGTGTGGCGAGACTGCTGGTTTAATGGGCTCTGAACACCAAGAACGGGGCTGGGAAGCTGATGGATACTTGGGGGCTGAACTGAGTCCCATGGCCCAGGATTGTTGCCTGGAAGTGTACCTTCCGTCTTGTGCCGTTGAAATTGTGAAGGTCTCTAGGTCCCACAGGACAGGCAATAGGCTTGGAAGGCTGGGAAGAGGCTCCCCAGCTGCCTGCCTTGGGAGATCAGAGCTCACAGGTGGGTCCGCCGGCCAGTGTCCGGTTGGGGAGTGGAGGTTGTAGAGTGCGTGTGGCCCTCTGGCCAGTTGGCTCTGAGTGTTGCTGTGTGCCCAGCAACCTCTCCCTGTGGTGTTTTTCTGCCAGTTGTTGGAACTTGTAGATTAGTCACTGAGCTTTTACGACCGATTCCTGAAAAGAAAAATCTCCCTCCGGTTGCTGGCTCTGTGTAGAGGAAGCAGCAGCCCGAGGGAATCAGGCTTTTAATTAAAGTAAAACCGAAATGATTGTCGCAGTTGCTGGAAGGAGAAGAGAACGCACAGGTGGGGCAGGGGTGATGAGTCCTGATGCGTCCTATTGTGCTGCATGATACCTGCTCTGGGGACAGGTAGGCATGACCCCATCCTCGGTCCTCGGTCTTGGCCAGCAGCCCAGCCTTCTCCACAAGCTGCAGTCCTGGATTAATCGTCACGTAGTGTTTTCTTTCCATAGATCAGATTTCTCATTTTGTTAATAAGCGCAGCCTCCCGTCCACTTGAAGTCAGCTGTTTCGGACAAGGAGCAACAGGGTTTTGCATTATTGAGCTGATAGCCTGCTGCCTTCCTCGAGTCCTTATTGTTTGCAGGGTCAGATCTGAGGGGGTGGGTGAGGGAGTGCCATTTAATCAGCAGCTAGCCCCTGGAGAAGAGCTGGCGGGGCAGTTCTGGAGCGTGAGAGCTGTGAGGAAGGAATAAAGTTCAGTTTACTCAGGGGACCTGTGGTTTCTAACCTTACTGCATGGCTTGTTGGCCTTGAGCAGTCAGCCCCACCCCATACCTTGTCTTGCCCACCGCCCCCAGTACCTGATCCCTGAGAGAGTGGGGCGCTTCTTCTTGGGCTGCTCTTGCTGGCATGGGAGGCAGCTTTCACCACAGGAAGAAAGAACAAATCAGGTTCCTCCCTTCTTGGCTCCTCTAGCCTGGCTGAGGAGGGACCCCTGTGGGGCAGTGAGAGAGGAACTGGACTTGGTCGCAAAGTCTGTAGTGCAGTGCTGGCTCTGCCATTTACTCTCGTCATGACCTTGGGCAGTGATTGACTCTCCTGCCTCTGGCCTTAGCGTCCCTGTTTCTACAGTGGGAATAGAACTTGAGTTTACATTCATGTATTGCTGTTTTCTGGAGCTCAGCCTGGGGAAGACAGACATTCAACAAATGATTATAAGATGGGGTGATAAGGACTGGCACCTAGCGGAGCGCAGCAGGCGTGGTGTGGGAGGGGCCAGCCTTTGGGCTGGCGGAGAGCCCTGGATGCCATGTGGGTTGAGGTTGGCCAGGAGGGGAGGGGTTTTAACCAGGAAGTGAGTGCTGTTGGGTTTTAAAAGGCAGTGGTAGGCTAGAGGGTGGTTGGGGAGACAGCTGGAGAGCACTGAGGACTTGGACTTGCAGATACTGTGTGAGCCGGGAAGCCAACTCAGGAGACCCCACTGCCAGTCAGGCATGTATGCGGCTCTTTTTCAAGCTTTTTATTAATTTCGCCACATTTTCTGAGCACAGAATCAGTGCCTGTCCTCCTTGGCTTAGACCAAGTCTCGTTGGCCCCTGCTTTCTGGCACTCACAGACTTACCTTTCAGGCGGGATGATAGAGGCGCTTGCAGTTCACGTGGCCCGGTCTCCTCTGGAGTAGTGAAGGAGCTGCTTTTGGAAGTTCACTAGCTTGCTGGGGCTGGAGGGTAAATGCCTCCACTGCCTGTGGAGGCCCATATAGTGTGGTGTCTGGAGAGATTTGAGATCCCACTAGGGAGGAGTGGGGCTGCGAGCCCCCTCCTTAAGAGAAGTCCTGGCTTCCATTTAGGGGCTTCTGAACCAGCCCTTCCAGTTTGACTCTGCCTGGCACCGCCAGGGTTCGCTTCCTGCTGGGAGGGGCCTTGCCCTAAGGGTTAGGGACCTGGGCTGGGGGAGGGCTTCGAGGAGGGGCTAGGCCCCGAGGGACTGAGGGACTCAGGCTTGCTCGCCTTGAGCCCAGTTTTAGCTGGGAGTGGCAAAGCAAGAAAAGCTGGTGGGGGTGGGAGCTTTGTGTGGGCCCCCAGTGAGCTTGATAAGGGAGGGAAGGCTGGGAGCCGGTTCCAGCCCGCCACAGTTCAGGAGGGATGGGCCAGACTGCCTGGGAGGGGTGTGGCAGGGCTGAGTGGGGAGAGGGACCCTAAGAAACTGCCTGGGACCCTCAAGAAGGTGGTCAGACTTGGGGGAGTCCCTCCTTCTGACTATTC